TCTATAGGCTCTTAGTTGCTTGCTAGATCATTGCTTTTGTTTGAAAGTGTGCTTTGGGATGGGTTTTTAAAGTATTTTGAAAAAGTGCCTTTGTTTTAGGCTAACTTTGTAATTATTCTCGTCTTTATAAGAATGCATACAAAGTGTTTTACTTTTTTTTGAAAATATTTCATGGAAAGTGTTGGTGCATTTGAAAAGGTGTTTGTGTTTGAAGATGAGCAAGCAACTAAGAACGTTTCTACCTACTCAAAATTCTTTGTTCTTTTCCTCCTCCTTTAGATGTGGCTATCTCATCATTTGATTGGTAAGAAAGTCCCATCATTGGATGTGAAGGGACGGGCATAGGTCATCGTATAGTCACGAATAACAATGTTGTAAGATATATTAGCCTTTTTCTTGAGGGACTAAGATCATTTATAGGGCAATATTCGAAGCGTCATCGAGGGACTATGATCTTGTATTGTTTTTTCTAAGACGTCTCACATGCATATCATGACCATTTTTCAAGGCAACAAGTGGAGTTCAACCTAGAGGTGCAAAGTGTGCAAGTGTTTATATTTCATGTTTTTTTTGTCTTGGATTATGATTTTCTAAGTATTGATTTTATCTTCTCATACAAATCCTACTTTACTAGCATTTATATGAAAGCGATAAATTGCTGAAAGTAAAAATCCTACGCTATTACAATCACTTAGGAATGAGGTGTACAAATTTACAAATGGGGGTTACAAGAAATTAAAGTCCTAATTATCTATTACATCCATATTGAAATAATGTACAAAAATTGAAATGTAAAATAGATTTGTTTTATTTTTATTAAGAGAAGAAATAAATTTGCTTAAGGAAATGTTTTTAGTCTTTTTGTTTTAAAAGAAATAAAGCAAAGTATATGAATATAAAGTATTTTTGGTGTTTTTGATTAATGAAAATAAAAGTGATGATAAAAATAATAAGAGAATAAGAGTTAGAGTCAGCGTGTTACCAAAAGAGTAGAAATAAGAGAGAGCATAAGTTCTGACCCAGGCATGCTGCAAATCAGAAAGAAAATGTTAGTAGAAATGGGGAAAACCAGAAGTTCTGGATCCAGGCGCGCTAAAGTTCTGGGGTTGCTGGAAACAAAGGAAAGCCTAGAAATTCTGATTGTTGAGAGAGCCTAGAAGTTCTAGTGCAGCTGGAAACCTAGAAGTTATAGTGTTACTGGAAGGCTAGGAGTTCTGTTAATGGGTAAGTGAGGTGACGATGCTGTTGGATGAGAATATCTAGAAGTTTTGGTCCAGGAGTACTGTTTTGACAAACAAATGGGAGGGGGTTATCTAGAAGTTCTGATCCAGGAATGTTATTTGACAAGTAATGGGGTAAAATGTTAAGAAATAAACATAAAAAATGCTCGTGGGGCTAGAACCCCAGACCCTTAACACTAATGCCTTATGTGCGCGCTCTCTACCACTGGGGTGGCTATACATCATGTATTAGAAGCAAAAACATAAACATATATTACAAAGTAAGTTCTGATGATGAACTTCATCTTCTTCTTCGCGCCAGTCAGAATATCTGTAACTTAGTTATTTCCCAACAAAAATGGAAAATGCAAACATAGAAGTTATGGAAATTTTCATCATGGTTTCAGAAATACAAAGCATCAAAACTATAAACCAGAAACAAGCATGAATTTTGCTAATCCTAATTGTGAACCCTAATTTTCTCAAGAAGTTCTGATCTGAAATTCTCTCTACTTAGGCCATATAAATGAAATCTATAAATATGTACAAATTCAGAGCCATGATATCTACATTGTGTCTTTGAAATTGCAAGCCTAACAATGCCTAAGTAATGAGATGAAAATTAGAAGAAACTTACCTTGCCGCTGGAAATTGTTCTGTGAGTTAGAGCTTGGTTCAGATTGCTGTGATGTTCTGGTCAGCTTCCTCAAGTTCTCAGAAAGCTAAAACAACTCTTAACTTGAGTTATGGATGGTTGGAATGCTCTGGAGCAGTCAAGATACAAAGTTGTGATTTTTGAAATGGAGATTGGTGAAGATTGTATTACAGTTTGAAAACAGAAGTTGGGAAAGCTTCTACGTGTATACCAGAAACTGTGTGGATGATTTGGCCAAGAAACGCACAAGGAAAATTAGAGTTTGGATGCAAAAATCAGAAACTAGCAGGTTTTGTGTTTGTGTTGCAATTTCAAGTTCTTGAGAATTTTCAGCAAGGTTTCAGAGCTTTTTTTTCAATCCTCCTTCAGTTTTAAAATGAAGTTTAATTTATAGGCAAAGGATTTAGAAGCTTGGAGAAGTCAGGAGTACAACCATCACGTGTTATGGATCGTTGACTTGTTTTTGAAGCAAGTTTAGACAATCATAATTTCAAGGCAAGGTAGGGTGGTTAGCAGCTTTAAACACGCCTAATATGAGTTTATAGGCATGATTTATGGGGAAGTACACTCAAAAACAAAGTAAAGTATGGACTCAAAATAAACTTTGTACAAAAGTTTGCTTTTCAAGAACAGCATTGGTACTTTTATGCCACACGTGGGAAGATCTTTTGGATAAAAGCTTAAACACTAGGATAAAGACTCAAAAGTTGGTATAAGAATTAAATTATGATGAGATTTAACAAGCAAGAAGGCCTGCAACATGAGATTATGCAGCATAGCTTGAAACTGGATCAGAAGTTCAGCATAAACGTAACTTAAATTAAGAATAAATGTCCAACTTTTGATCTTTTATTCTCCCTGCTCCAGCATGATCTGAAGGAGTTCTCAGACTTTTCAGAAAGCTTATAACATACTTTGTAGCCCCTCTGTGAATCATTTTTGCAAACTCTGATTGTACCTACGTAAAAAATGGCCCAGAAGTTCTAATCAAATTCTGCCTTGAAAATGCTCAGAATTTACTAAGTATTTTAGTTTCATGGAAGTGTCTTCAAGGATTTATAACATGAAATCCCATCATTTCTAGGAGGAGTTCTGTTCTGCAATGTTTTAGATCTCATTGAGATCTACAACTTCTGTATCAGAAGTTCTTCCTGAATCATCTTGCATCATGATGAAAATCTGACCAAAAGTTCTGAACTTATCATATTTTCTTAACACTTGAAAAAATTTCTAAGTGTTTAAAACTTTGACTTTTCCAAAGTAATTTTGACTTTTGATTTTTTTGATGAACCAACTTCATATTCTAACATGTCTTTATGAAATGTGATTCTTAAAACTTAATTTTGATCAAAAAGTCAAAGTTTAACTTTTCAATGTGCATTTTGACCATTTTGCCCTTGTGTCAATTCCAAACCTAAATTGATGCATCAGTGCTGCAAACTTGAGTCATGGAAGATCTTGTGAGAAAATTCTTGAGAAATGAGAGGGAAAATTTTGGAGTACAATAATATATTTGTATGTTGATGACATATTACTCACAGGAAGTTATGAACAAGAGATTGCCGAGTTCAAAAAAGTTTTGATGAATGCATTTGAGATGACAGATCTTGAAAAAATAGATTTTTTTCTAAGGATATAATTTATGTACTCTGAGAAAGAAATCATTTTACATCAGATGAAATATGAACTAGAGCTTCTGAAGATATTTGAGCTAGAGAATTCCAAGGTTGCGATCACACCTGCTGATACGAATCAGAAGTTGAACTCTAGTTTTTATGGAGAGGATGTGGATGCTACAACCTTCAAACAGCTGGTTGGTTCTCTGAGGTATTTATGCAATACCAGACCTGATATTTGCTATGCAGTTGGAATGGTCAGCATATTTATGAGCAAATCAAGGTGGTCTCATTACCAAGTTGTTGTCAGGATTCTGAGGTATGTGAAGGGAACTCTGAAATATGGAGTGTTGTTTCCTTCTGGAAGAAACATTGAATCAGAACTTCTTGCATATTCTAATTTTGATTGGTGCGGAGATAGAGTTGACAGAAGAAGTACTTCTTGATACTTATTCAAATTTCTGGGAGGTCCTATTTCTTGGTGTTCCAAGAAACAACATGTTGTTGCGCTGTCAACTTGTGAAGCTGAATATATTGCAGGTGCTCTGACTGCGTGTCAAACTGTATGGATTCTGAACTTGCTGAAAGATCTGAAGATTCAGGTAAATAAACCTCTAAAGCTTATGATTGAAAACAAGTTTGCAATCAATTTTGTCGAAAATTCGGTGTTGCATGAGAGAAGCAAGCATATTGAGACTAAGTATCATTTTCTGAGGAATCAGATTCAGAATGAAACATTTGAAATTCTGCACTGTAGCACCCAGAAGCAACTAACACATGTTCTGACGAAGGATATCAAAATTGATCAATTTTTTAGTTTAAAGGATGGAATTGGAATTGTCAATTTTGGGTAAATATAAATTAAGAAATGGTGTTAGATTTAATTTAGGTTTAATTAAATATTAATTTATATTTTAAGAATATCTTATAGATCTTCTTATATCTTTGTTAGAAGATAAATTTTAGATTTGTTTTTTATGTATAAATAGCCTAGTGTAGTTGCTCATTGTAATCAATTGTAAATCATTGAATATACTTTTTTATTTTGCCTTTTATCTTCTCTTGTGCTCCAACGGTTTCTTAGAACTCTGAGAAACTAGGTTACGACCAAAGAAGATACAATACCAAGATGTTGACATGTAATCCTCAACATCACTTGCCCAATCACTACCACTGTAGGCTCTAAGTGGGAAATTGTTGTGAGCATCTGAGAGAACAAGAGAAAGGCCAAAACTCACTATCAGACGATTGTTCTAACACAAGACCAACGGGAATTGAGTGAACAAACTATAAATTGACAGAAATTGTTCACACTATAAGTTATATCAGGCCTAATGGGTATCACATATTGTAAAAGACCTATAATGGATATGTAATGGTGAGGATCGAGGTATTTGAGCCATGTTTGATGAGTTTGCGGTTGCTTAACAATAGGCCTCAAAAAATGTTATATTCAATAAGTTATGGTTCTCTTACTCTACAACTTCAGAAACCACTTCTCAAGACCTCTCATCTTCTCAAACACTTCATTATCCTAGCTTCAATAAGCTTTCTCCTACAACAGCCTCTCAGCTTGTTAACATCTATCTTAATACCACCCATGCCATGACTACCAGAGCTAAACATGGAATAGTCCATCTTAGACTCCACCTTGCCTTACTTTTTATTGAACTTGAACAAACCTCCAAGATTTAAAATGGATGGAATTTATGCAAGTTAAATATGATGCCTTAATCACTAGAAATATAAGTGATATTAGATGTAAGTGAGTGTTTAGAGTAAAACAAAATCGTGATGGTTCCATTCTCAAGTACAAGGCTAGACTAATAGCTAAGAAATTTCATCAACATGGATTTAATTTTCAAGAGACATTCTCTCATATGGTCAAACCAATGACTGTAAGGATAACTATTTTTAGACAGTTGCCCATCACTCAACTTGATGTAAATAATACTTTATTAAATGTACTCCTTGAAGAGAAAGTTTACATGTTATAATTCGGGGTTTTTCAAAATTTTGGTATGCAAACTAAACAAATCTCTATGGTTTAAAACATGCATTCCAAGGCTTGGTCTAAGAGACTCAACTCAACATTATTCGGCCTTGGTTTCAAAGCAAGCAAGTGTGATTTTCCTTTATTCCCTCTTTATAAAACTTCATGTAGACAACATTATTGTCACTGGAAATTCCCCGTCTCACATTCAACGACGCATATCGAACCTCAATAATCAATTTTCTCTCAAACAGCTGGGCGAGCTTGATTATTTTTTGGGTATTAAAGTTTATCGCCTATCTAATGGTCGTTTGTTCTTGTCATAACCTAAATAAATCATAGATCTTCTGTGTAAAATAAATATGCATGAGGATAAGGGGTTACATACACATATGGTTGCTAACTTAAAAGTTGTTTAAGTCTGGTTTAGATTATTTCAGTGGTTCGACATATTATAGATCCATTGTTAAGAGTTCTCCAATATGCCACAATAATTAGAGCAGAAATTATTTACTCTGCCAATAAAGCATTCCAATTTCTATCTCAACCCTTTGAAACTCATTAGACTATAGTCAAAAGGATTTTGAGATTCCTCGGAAGCACTCTTTATCGTGGGCTTCTTTTAAACTATGGCCCCATTTTCCAAACCTTTGACCATCACTGCCTTCTGTAATGTTGATTAGGGGGTTGACTCATGACATGAATTCCATTTCAAAATTTTGTATTTATCTTAGTCCTAACTTCGTGTCTTGGTGGTCCAAGAAACAAACTCTAATGCCAATATCCAGCATTTAAGTGGAATATATAAGTCTGGCCAACACAATTGAAGAAGTTTTATGGCTTCAGTCCCTCCTTCATAAACTCAAAGTTCCCTCCGCTACTCACATTATTTTCTGTGACAACCTAAGCTCTATGGCTTTGTCACTGTTACATCTCAAGACCAAACACATGGAGTTGGACATATTCTTTCCAAAAGAAAAACTGATCAATAAAACTCTTGTGCATAACACACCTGCAACATATCTGTATGTTGATCTACTGAACAGCGCTCTCTCTTCTTTTAGATTTCTAACTTTGAGAGACAAACTCAGTGGTGGATAAAGATTCTCTATCCTAGACAGCTCATATAGAGATTTAAGGGGGGCTATTAGAGTAACAACAATATTAGTGCAGTCTGTAATAAATAACTTTCGAATATTAGAGTAACAACAATACTAGGGCAGTCTGTAATAAATAACTTTCGAATACATCTCACTTGTTCACCTTTAAAAGGAGAATTCTAGCCACTAAAATACATGTTTTTTTGTACAAAAAAAAAACTACTAAAATATGCTATGTTAAATACAAATGTATTTCTGTCAAAAAAGGTGAAAATGTATCAACTTTCTTCTATTGGGGTAAAATGAAACTGAGAGAAAAATATTAATTTGAACAAACATATTGAATTTATCAGTATCAATCTGATTTTTATTTTACAATGAATTAGTTCTAGTTGGTCGAATACCAGGTTGACCCAAACTCGTGCAAATGGCTCAAATTTGGGCTCAACAAACTTCCACAATGATCAAAACATGTCCTAGGTTTATATTTGTTACAAAAATTGGACATTTGGCCAACCTTGTTCTAACCAACATACAAGGGATAATTAGTGGTTATTATTTGTAAGTGTTACATACCACCTAAGATTATTGCGTTTCCTGTTAAACTTCTCTCTTAACCATAAGCATATTCCTTTTTGTAAATTCTTAACTCTTGTGCAGAGCTGGAGAAATGAAGAACTGACATGATATTGTGTCTGCATAATGCGTTTTCCCAATAGTGAAAACCCCCCCAACCATTTCATGAGACTTCCCGGAGAAAAACCTAACCCTTGATGACATAACCTGCTTTCAATCCCCAAGAAATAAGTTATCATTAAAACAACCATCAAGCAATTTATCTGGGCATCCCCATAAAACTCGAGGCTCACAATTGCTCTCCTCTTCTGGAACCAGACGCTAGCCTCTTTAGAAATCGCAACTCAAGTCTTTTAGCCCATAGACTCTGGTCAGCTGACTCACATATTGGAAATCCAACTATGGCACACCATCTTAAATTCAACAACCCTATTGCAACTTCATCTTCTGAATCTTCAAATAATTTAAATATGTGTGACTCAGAAGCCAAATCCTCATCAAGGATGAATTCATCCACAAAATTTTTCCTCTCTTTGAGTATGTTGCCATCTTCAGACATCATACGCAAACTTAAAACCTGCAATGCTTCTATTGCTGTATTGTGAAAACTTGAGTTTACATATGCAGAGAAGACATATTCACATGTTGTTGGATCAGGCTGAACTTTTTCTTGGTGCATAAACTCCACAATAAACTCAATTACATCGATCCTTCCCTAAGTCATGGAAAAAATTATATGAAAAACTTACTAGGATAGACATTCTAAATTTGCTTCATAAATAGAAGTAAATATGTGCACTGATAGATTTTTCATTAGGAAAAATACAAGATTAGCTATAGTTTTTTAATAGAATGGTCGGGCATTGTTACTTAACTCTTGGATGGATGAATGGTGCGTGCCATTTTGAGTTATCCAACCACCCTTTAAACACGGTAGACTTCGGTTGACCGATATCAAACTTTTATGGCTCTATTGTAGTAGCATTACACGCTCGTGAAGAATATACACAAATTTGAAAGGCTTTCCTTTCCCATTTATCCCCCTCCTAAAAAAGTACAAGTATGAAAAAAAGATGAAATACCTTGTAACATGCTTGGCGGAGAAATGTGTTAAACAGCAGTACATCAAGTTGGATACCATCCAATTTGATTCTTTCCAGAACATTCAGGGCTTCATTAAAATTCTCATCTTCCAACAAAATCTGATATAAACACGTTCAGTATAAAGTTGGATACAAAAAGTTCAGACAATAATTTAGTAAAGTTACTATAAAATCTTAGATCTGCACAATTGTCTTTCTTCATATAAATCAAGTAAACTGCAAAAAACTTTGACAAACAAATATTGATTGAATATGCTATAACAGGAAGAACCTTAATGAGAGCAGTATATGTACAAGCTACTGGACAAAACCCTTCCCGTATCATCATTGAAATCAACAAAGAAGCAGACCTATAACTTCTTATGACGCTACAACAGTCAATCATTATATTGTATGTAGTGGAATCAGGGTGGCAGCCACACAACTTCATCTTCTTGAAAATTTGAATTGCCATGTGGCTCTACATATCAAGTGGAAAACGTTATATTCCAGACAGACATGCATAATAACATCTATTCACACAATTAGTCTCAAAATAGAGAAGTAATGATGTACGAGTCACTTACTTCTTGGGCTTCAACAAGATAATGCAACACTATGTTGTACATATCTGTTCCCAATGAAGGATTACTATATATGAAAAGATTCTCTGCCACATGCAAATATTGGATAAGCTTTCTTATCATTCCCTCTTCTCCAAGGGATTTCAACTGAAAAAAACCAAAGGACATAGCAAAGTGAGCTTTGTGAGCAATCAAACATTCTATATTAGCATTTTAGTTGGCTCTCACATTAGTGTGCTTTGGCACAGATGCGGGTGTTAGTATAGTGTGTAGATGAAAATAAGCAATTAATAAACACCAACAATGACAACAAAGAAAATATTTTTTTCATACAGCATAGGGTTAGCAACACTGATCAAATGATGTGCATAAGTTTCCCAATCTTATTTTTCTTTTATATCATCCATCCACAGAAAATTCTATTTTCTGTAGCAATTAGCTTATGCGCTTGTTGGCTATTTTCTATTTTTCTGTCCACCACCAAGTACTACAGTCCAACATTGATCAAATGATGAACATGATTGTGCTCTAGCAAAAAACAAGTTGTTAATTGTTGATTTGGAGGAAAGACTGGCTCTCAAAATAAATATATAAACAGTTGGGGAACAGACAGTGGGCTAACAAATCCACACTATAGTAAAACATTTTTTCCAAATCATTTGCATCCTGGAACATGTTATTGACTACTCAATTGAATACCTCCCTTTCAAGCACATATTTAAGTTCATCATAGATTCTAGCAGAAGGAATTCCACATAATATTGCATCATCCTTAAATTATGCATAAAAAATGGAAATATTACAGAACTTACTAAATTTTTCAATGAACGATGACTATGCAGAAAGCCATTATTTGCCATATCCCTTTCTATAGCATTTATTCTTTTGGCAGCATCCACTTGTGACATCACACTACTGTCTTCGTATGGGGCATTAACAATACCAAATAATGAAAACAGAAGCTCATATGTTCTCATATCAGGTAGAAGTTTTATTTTCCTCATCTTTGCAAACACCCGCACCGCCCGCTCAGGTTGATTCTGCAAATTTTGATTAGATAAAATGTAAGCCAGTATAAGCACCAAAATACAAGAGGAATTTTGGTAGAGATAGTTCACTTTTAAATTCAGTTGCTCAGCCTAATAGGGGCTTTCCTATGCAGCCTATTGATGAAATGAAGGAGGACTTAGCATGTCATTACAACAAATCCAAGGCAAACAAACAGTAACCAACAACATTATAGTAATAAAAAAATACATTCATTTGTTTGATGGGCCCTGGCTTATTAAACTGCGCTAGAAAATTATCCAAGTGGAGAAATTTCTTATAGGAACACAATAGATTGAGTTTCCTTGTTTCCTTTTTCTGTAAAGTAATTGCTATACTATTGTGCTTCACCTTGTACTACCAGATTATTCAGTAATATAAGTAGCATACAGAAGACTCAAATATTTTAGGGTTTCTCTATGATTCTCTCTTGACATGACACATCAAATATAGCTATTGGTTCTTTAGGTAAAGTAATAAAAAGCAGGATTTTACTTTGAAGTTTCATAATTGAGCTCACCAGTGCATCACATGATGCCAGCAAAGCATTGTAAGGATGTGGATACAAGCAATCAGAAATCTGATTCAGCAAAGACTCGGCTAAGTCTAACTGTAGTTCTCTGCTGAAAGAAACTGAAAGTGTAGCTAGAGTTGAGTCGTATAACTTCAAATTCTCCTGCTGCATTTTTTTTAACTACAATATATATGAAAATAGTATTAGTCCTAGAAATATACTCTATTATAAAAAGGGGCGTCAACAGATACAAGACCATAAAGCTCTATGTCACCACCATATATCTCAACCAAAATCCAATTCACTTGGTGTGGGTTTCTATTTTAACTAAAACTGAGTGGGTGAAATTTCTGTGATAGCAGAGCACTCAGACAGTAAATTCAAAAAAATAATAAAAGGTAGCAAAAGCAAGTTAACACAACATTGTAATAGAACTCACCATTCTCATGGCATCCCCAAAACTTCTTTGAGAAACAACTGCTCTAATAATGCCGTCATATGTATGGCTGGACGGCTTCAAACCAAGATTTTGCATCTGAATAGAGAAGGGCCCTTCAATATGTTAGAATACAGTAATCTTATGTTGTTGTATATTAATGAAATTCAGTTATACATTAAATAATGCATGAAATACATTTATACTAAACATTAAGGAGAATATAATAAGACATGGCTTCATTGTTATTCACACATCAATAATGAAAATCTTAGGTCTGATTTCTGAACATTTGAATTGTGATATAATAACAGTGTAGATGTAGAGAAATCTCTCTTGATTACAATACTCGGAAAAGCAAACCATCAATTCTGCAGATCCAGTATAACATAGAGTACAACAAATAACATTTAACAGCTTAGTCGGATGTCTACCTGTAACATAAGCTTCCAAGCAAGCATATAGTTTTTTTCTTTTGCACACCCATGTATTATATCATTAAAAGACCACCTAAGAACCTTCATAAGCAGTGAGTGCTTTTGTCCATTCAGCCCATTTACATCAGTATTCTTGGCTTTTTTATCATCCATACAAATAAATTTCTGCTCCTTACTTGCAGAAATAGTGTCTAGTAAATGCAAACTAGGAGAGAGTATACAAGAGCTATGTTGTCTGCTCTTCCACAGGTCCAATATGGTTGATCCTAGCCCGTCATTTGCAGGAACAGGAATGTCCAATCTAGTAGAATACAACTTCCCATAAACTGTTCTAGCAATAGAAATGTTTTCCCTCGTGGCTAATGCCACCAACTGTTGTAGTGTTCTATTCGCAGATTTTAGATCTCCCAGCCTTGTAAATGACCAAATAAATTTACGCAGAGCAATGATACTCATACTATAAAGCTTGATATACTCCCGCCAAATTATATGGACTGCAGGCAAGTTTTTCTGCAAAACTGCAAGCTGAGAAACAGGGTGAGACAAATGATACTAGTCACATAAATAGCATTAAAGACAGACAATATTCAAGCATAGAAACACATTATCACAAAAAGAGCTAATGCAATAAATTAATCATGTTGTGTTATTACTTGATTCCGTACCATTTAAGAGTCATAAAAATTGGCAATACATAGTCACATTTTCTGATTTCTTGTCTTAATTCACTACAAGTGGACATATGGATTGTTGGAATAAGAAGAAAAAAAATGAGATAGCAAATATAAAAGTTGGCAATACATAGTCCCATTTCCTTCTTCCTCTCAATTAAAGACTCAGGAGCAAGGCAGAAAAACTGATGGACAGTCCAGTCAAAGAATGTAACAGTGATGATTTCCCATCCTATAAATAGATAATCATTTTATATAATAAACTTAATGGTAATGAAAATTGGCTTCTAGACCAAAGGAGCAAATAGCATATTCTGAAACTAGCACTCATAAGAACATGCATCTTGGTGCAGATCAAGTGCTTAGAAATTTCACATTGAATCACATATTCATAAGCATGAAAGTTCTTTCAGAGACTTCATAAGGATCTGTGGGTTTTAGAATTTTTTTATTGTTTTCAAAGTTTAGCTCAGAAAACAAAGCAAACTAATTTTAAGTGTTCTCACTTTTTTGAGTTTTTGTAATTAAAACTGCAACAGAAAATAGAAACAAAAAAATGAAAAACATAAAGACCCTAATCTATTAAACATTAAATTGTCCAGGTATAAAAATAAGGATATTGAAAAGTAATAGTACTTTTTATATGCACACCTTGAGAAGTGCGGTATACGTAACTTCACTCTTTCCTATCATTTGCTTTTCCATCAAGTCCAAACATTTTCTAGCTTGAATTAAATTCTGGATTTTTGTGCAGGAGCTTAAAATACTATTGTACAGTGGGAGACCTGGATAGAAACGCCGATTTTGTCCTAGAAAATCCATGATACTAAAGGCCTGCAAAAAGTAGAATAAGAAGACAAGTAAAGTAAAATTCCCATAGCTGAAGTAAAATTCCACGGTTCTCCCTTCAAATTATGAATAATTCAATCATGAGTTCTTAATAAAAGGGAATATCAACCTAATTTGATATGAACTATATGATTTTATTTAATTATAAATTAAGTAATTCAAGGACAAATTGCTGGCAAAAATGGATTCATAGCAGGTGACCACATGTTGTGGCAATGACCCACCCTTCTACTTCTCGCCCACATGCATTGCATCTCGTTTCAACAGTCAGATACTACTTATACATGTCCAAAGGTTGACAATACCTGCAAGACAAGACCATGCATCAGGATACTACATAGATCAATGCAACTACTGGATTTTCTCAAAGGAGAAAAGAGCTACCATACTCAAGCAACATGCCTAATCTGTGAAACTAGTCAAACAAGTATGATAAAAGCAATAATAATCAATACAAGCAACCAACTGCTTCCAACTAAAAAATAAGTACCTAAATCAAACTGATTCAAACATCAAACATATCAAACATAATACTTCAAACCCTAATTTTATTTGAAAATGTTAAGGTAGAGACAAACAGAGTTAAGAGTTCCCATTCAAAGTTAAGAGTTTGATACAGAGGTAACAGAAATGCTAAGTTAGAGACAAGCATAGAGAGGTAGATAGAGAAAGAGAGAAAGAGAGAAAGAGAGTGAAGGAGAAAGAGAATGACGAAGAATTTACTTGAATGCTGGTGATTCGTGGTGGCCGGCGTGGTGGCATGGTGGTGGTCGAGAATGGAAAAAACGGATGAGTAAACAACAACGGTGGTAGAAGAAGAAGCAAGGTGAAACCCTAGCACGTAGAGAGACTGTGAAACTGAAAGTGAAACGAATAGAAATGTAAATGAAATGAAACTCAGTAACCTATCGGTTTTGGATTTCGATGGACCCAAACAAATTATCCGAAACCGACGTACAATTCTTATGAATCTATTTCTTGCAAAACCGTTATCTGATAATCCGTTTGACCCGAACCGCTTACTAACGGCCCCTTTGGTAGGTCGGATTGGACCGGTTCGAAATAATCTGTCTGTTTCTGCCAAATTCCAAATGATGCCACGAATTGTCCTTGTGCTGCACTGATGGACTACAAAATTTTATAACAAGTGGAAGGTTGAAATTTTTTTGTAAAGAGACAAAGAAATATCACATAAGCGAGTAACGTGCATTTGAGGAGAATGTACCGCGTGTGAATTTTTTTTTCTTATTTTAGTGTTAATTTTAAAATCTTGAGAATAAGGTTTAAGTGAATTTTTCAATTAATTTATTAGTTGTACTTTTATTATTATTTAATTGGATTTTTCAATTATCATTTAAGTGGCTTTTTTAGTATTTAGGTATTTTGTTAGATTATCGATGTGTGACATTATATAATGTAGTGTCTTTGACACATTAGAAATCAATCAAAAATCAAGAAAGTTATTTTTATTAGTTATTTTTTATTGTCTTTATTTAGTTTTATTTAGTTTGTTAGAATTTTAGATCTAGCTCTCTAACAAGATACATATTAGTGATGATGGCACTTTGATTTATAAGTGGAAATTGAACGCAGAGTAAGACTGGGTCTGAGTCCATGCTTATGTATACTTCCAGTTTTCTCTAACAAGCCCTATTTTGAACGTCGTTGATGCAGCGCAATTGACAATACCTTTAGTAGGAAGAAGGATTGGTTGTGGCGGCGTGCGTGAACCACGACTACCTCAAGCAATACGGTGGTGTGGCGGCGTGCGTGAACCACGACTACCTCAAGCAATACGGTGGTGTAGCGGCTAAAAGGAAGGTGGTGTTGGCTTATCAGCTTTTGGTGGCGGTTGAGGATAAATTTCAGCGATTCCAACTGGTTGGAAGAGACTGCATTCTGAGTTTTTTTTTTAAAAGATTTTAGTGAATGATGGTGGGCCTATCAAGTGGTTTGGGTTTACATATTTCTATTTGGTATTTCCATAATACAACAAATACTCCCCCAAATGTTTTGATGTTTAAACTTTCAAGTCCATATTTCTAATATTTTTATGATACCAAAATATTTATATTAAATGTCATGTAATTTCTCTCAATAATTGTATTTTAAAATAAAAACATATTTCAATTGTGCATCATTTTTTATGGGGAATTGTGCATAATTTTGAAAAACATTAAAATGATACAGTTATGTGTATATTTCCACCCTTCAATTGTCTATTTAATTATATATTTAACCGGCATAATTTCGAATGTATATATATATAATTAGTTTGAGAAATTTTATAGTAAACGTTAGATTAATCTAACAGACATGTTCTGCTGCAATAATAACTCTTTTTATAAGTGTTAACCATATTCCATCATGTCAGCAAACTGCAGGCATTCTAACAAGAGCCCTTCTAAGAAACATATACGAGAATATCAGATTCAATTTGGGTATGATAGACATCTAACACCCATATTAAGGGGGAGAGTGAAATAATCATAACATAATCAAATGATTTTGCTTGTACAACTCATTAAAGATTAGAATTAATGTAATTAACTAGATGTTATTTCTTGGTCCTTTCTGTAATTAGAATTAGCATTTATGGGAAATTAATTCCCCTGATTCTTAGGTCAGATTTTTCTTCCAAATCGTGCCTTATGTATTCTATAAATACATACCGTATATGTAATTCTCATCAAATACAAAGAAATATAAAATATATTTCTACAATAAGCATGAAAGTTATTTCAGAGACTTCATAAGGATCTGTGAGTTTTAGAGTTTTTTTTATTGTTTTCAAAGTTTAGCTCAGAAAACAAAGCAAACTAATTTTTAATTGTTTTCACTTTTTTGAGTTTTTGTAATTAAAACTGCAACAAAAAATAGAAACAAAAAAATGAAAAACATAAAGACCTTAATATATTAAACATTAAATTGTCCAGATATAAAAATAAGGATATTGAAAAGTAATAGTACTTTTTATATGCACACCTTGAGAAGTGCGGTATACGTAACTTTACTCTTTCCTATCATTTGCTTTTCCATCAAGTCCAAACATTTTCTAGCTTGAATTAAATTCTGGATTTTTGTGCAGGAGCTTAAAATACTATTGTACAATGGGAGACCTGGATAGAAACGCAGATTTTCTCCTAGAAAATCCATGATACTAAAAGCCTGCAAAAAGTAGAATAAGAAGACAAGAGTAAAGTAAAATTCCCATAGCTGAAGTAAAGGTATTCACTAATCACTGCCTCAGAAAAATTGGTTTACATGTGCGATACGGTGGGAGAACTGACTTGAGGTTTTGCGTTTGTGTTTGCAAATGTTGCGGTTTAGCAAGAGTCCTCACCGACTTTTCTTTTATCCAAAAAAGGAAAGGTAAAAAAGCACAGGAAAGACCTTTAGAGATAATTTTGAGTTCGGGGGTAGATTATGAAAAGGGAAGGTATTAGCACCCTTTCCATCCATGGTTTTCCATGGGCTCTTAGTTACTTGCTAGATCACTTGCTTTTGTTTGAAAATGTACTTGTGGTGTGTGTTTTTGAAAGTATTTTGAAAATGTAACTTTGTAATGATTCTCGTTTCCATAAGAACGCATACAAAGTGTTTGTTTCAAAAATAGTTCAAAGATGAGAGTGTGGGTGTATAAAATGTTTTTATTGTGAGCAAGCGAGTAACTAAGAGCGAACCTACCTACTCAAAAGGTCTTAGATGTGTTTCCCCCCTCCTTTAGATGTGGCTATCTTACCATTGATTTGTTAAGAAGCCTCATCGTTAGATGTGAAGGGACGGGTGTTGGGACATTTGTATAGCCATAGAAAGCAACATACGGGACGTTTTAGCAATATCGTTTAGGGACTAGATCATTTACCGAAGACAACATTGAGGGTCATCGAGGGACTACGATCTTTTATCGAGGGTCTTTGCTAAAACACCCATGTTCGAAGGACATGACTATTTTCTGATAGGAAACAAGTGAGATTACCCTAAGGGTGCATGTGTGCAAGTGTGTTTGATTGCATGCATTTGTCTTTGATTTTTTTATCTATTTGTTGATTTCATATTTTGTCGTACACACCCTAATTACTAGCATTTACATTTGAAAGCGATAAATTGCAGAAATATAAAGTCCAACGCTATTACAATATTTAGGGGATGGGGGTACATATTTATGAATGGGGGTTGCAGGTAAAAATAAGTCCTAAATTATTATTACAACCATATTGAAATGTACAATATAAGAAAGAAATGAACTTGTTTAGAAAATATTTTTGTCTTAATGAAAATAAATTAAAAGGAAAATATTTTTATGTTTTTATATGTTAATATTAAAAATGATGAAAAGGAAAATAAATGCAAGATAGAAAATAGTGTGCTGCTGCAAGAAGAACAACTAGGATCAGAAGTTCTGAGGCCAAGAGCGTTGTGACTCAGCAGGAGACGTCAGTGGAATCAGAAGTTCTGGATTGGTAAACTCGGAGGTCCTGCAGGACACGTTAGAGGGAAAACACTGAAGTTCTGGATTGCTATGTGCTGAAGTCTTGCAAAAAGCATTAGAAGGAAAACACAAAGGTTCTGGGTGGTGTTCAGCCAGTGAACCAAAAGTCAGAAGTTATGTGTTACGCTAAAACAGTGAGTAAACATCAGCAGTTCAGTGCATTATCAGCATGTAAGCATCAGAAGTTCAGTGTATTTAACATGTAAGGAGAACTCAGAAGTTCTGTGATGTGTTAGAACACTGGGTGAATTATCAGAAGTTTTTGTATTGTGTTGAACCAGTGGGTGAACATCAGAAGTTCAGTGCGTGTTAACAGTGAGAAAAATCATAGAAGTTATGTGTGTTAAAACAGTGAAGAGAACTCGGAAGTTCTGCGTGCTTAAACAGTGAGAAAATCCTAGAAGTTTTGTGTGTTAAAACTATGAATGGACATCAGAAGTTTTATGCCATGTTTCAACTCTCAATCAGCATATCAACAATTTATTCAGTTCTTGTTAAACAACAAATCAGAAGGTTAACAGCACAACAGTTTATAGAAGTTCTAATCCTAAATCTGAGTCTAGCCTTAATCAAGAAACTCTGATCCACAGTTTTTCTACTTATGCAATGATATATACAACATTAATACTATAATATTTACATGTTAATGATGTTCATAATGAAAAACAAGCAAAGTTAGAAAGACTTACCTTGAACCTAGAGCGTGCTTGGAGATTTGAGTGGCTGCCTTTGGATGTTCTGAGTCAGCAAGAGAAACGGAAG